TCTTGAGTATCATGTAGCAAAAACATATCTAGCTGTTACTTAGAGATTCTTCCTTGTCCAGTGCCATCTTAACCTCTTCAGCATTGAGTTTCTTGAGCAAGGGGGATCAAAAACCTTTTCCATGTTTCCAAATTCTTGTCTGGAATGGCTGTAGCTAACGAGACTTAAATTTTCCAAGATAAAATTTATCGCAAAAAGGCATGTCATGGCTTTAAAGGAATTCTTGGCACTTATGATCTAAATCCTGAAAAATCACATGACATTTGAAGCAGTACAAATGAACCTGGCAGGAATCAAAGTATGCATATAGCAATTAAAGGGGCATGGTGTTGATCCCCTGAAGGCCACTGCTACAGAGAATAAAGCGATCAAAGACTGACTACAAGCAATTGCTGTGAATCTAGGATATAAAATGTGGTTTGCCAAAACTTGTATGATGTGCTGTTTTACCTAAACTTTTCACGAGAGAATGGTATCACTTCTGTTATTTCAGCATGGCCTATTTTCTTTTCAATTAAAAATTTTATGGATTTATTTTACAGATGAGTTTTCTGGGGTAGCATCTTATTAGCTGATGACAAGTTCATGAGACTTTCAACGATTTCCATGGGGTATTTGACATAAGTTTTACTTAATCTGGGGATATTCTATCAGTGGCTCATTTCAATCCAACACCATACTGATAGATATTCAGGCATAAAATATGGTCCAAAATGGTAGGTGGAAGCCATCAATGAGTCACTCAATAAGGACTTAAAAGGAAATTGCAGGAGTCTCTTTTTCAGTTCATATCTCTCATTTCAGATAAAGTTTCAGACTAGCGTTTAGTAACAGTTATACAATAGTTCCAGTTAAATAGAGTTTAAGCATATGATATGGCTTTTTCACATTGGTCAATAAGGTAATTGATTTATCATATATCAGACAAAGAGGGATGCTGTTTCACTTTCATCAGCCAAGAACAGACACAATCAGTTCTTATTATAAAGGATCAATTATGCAGTCAGCTGACATGCTGAAATCTTCATGCTCAGTATCAGTACAGTGTGTACAAGGCACAAAAACTGAGGCATGATGCACACCACATACATCCAATATTTCCATTGCACTAGAGATAGTGAAATGTTGACTGACTTGTTCTGCTTTAAGAGTGAGCTCGATGAAGATCTGCTGCAGTTTTTCATTGACATAATTGATGCAGAACTGCTCAAATCCATTGCGCCCAAAGATTTCAAACCCATAGATGTCCAGGATGCCCATTTTGAGTTCAGTGTCTCTTGTCACCATGGCCTCATTCACAGCCTGCAATCATCCGCAACTGTTTGTGTCAGCATTCCTTCCCAAGGGGAAAACAGATAAAGAATTCAATAGTGAGTTCCTGTCACCTTCACAATAAAATCAAAGAGTCGTGTATAGACTCCTTTGGCCCATGCATCCCGGGTGTAAGCTGCCTGTTCAACGTTCAATGTGACATGGATGCTCTCACTTTTCCCACCCCAACGACCATCCATGGTCCGGCTGATCAACTTTGTAGCCAACTGGGACTGGTCCACTTGGAACAGGTATGCAGGAT